ATGCAGGGAATCCCCCTATCAGTCATGCCATGCAGATCGAGCACAATCAAGTCGTCTAATATGTATTCTACTGTAATTCAATTGTGCAAAACTGGTTATCATTGTCTACGCCGACCATTCAGAAGACGCGCCGTTTTCACCTATACTAACTACATGTATTACTAAGAATAACCTCTTGCCCGTGCATGCATAATAATTATGGACATGAACATTTTTAATTATGCTAGCAGCAGGCATACACACACTTGAAAGAATCAAAAGCGTTTCGGTTGTAGCTCTGAGTTTCACGGTTTTATAAACCGATCATCAGACAGCAACTTGACTACAATTGATTTTCCGTACATGCATAGACTGATGATGGTGGTGCCTGGGTCTGTGGGAGTGATACGACTCCCCGGTATGTGCGTGTGTGTGTTTGTGCGTGTGTGTGTGTGTGTGTGTGCGTGTGTGTGTATGTGTGTGCGTGTGTTTAAAATCGTCCCATTCATGATTGTGAGAATCTACATGTACATAGAGTGAATTTCCACGGCAGCTGATAAGGTAGGCTTACCTGATTAATACACTTGGCGTAGCACTGACTGCGGCCAATCTCCAGACCTGCCTTTGTCCAAGCTGTCCATTCCACGGCCTCAAATGATGCCTTCTCCAAACTATAGCAGTCACCACCACTGCCCGTATCACCACCAGCATCACCAGTAGTGACACCCTCACACGGCACAGCACAAAGATAGCAGCAGTAGCCCATCAACAGGATCAGCGAGGAGAACTGCTGCAGTCGCTGACAGAACGGACCGCCGCTTCCTGGGGAGAGAACCATGGTATTGTGTGTGCGTGTCAATCTCCCTGTGGTCTGCCTTGCTAATGGTCGAGTTCCCCTTGCGGATGTCCTGGAACAGTCACAGTAACCGTATTCTCATCTCACTTCGCTAGTGCTAAGGGCCTTCCTGCTCATTCTCTTCGTGGCAACCAAGCGAAGTTCCGCGGCGCGCTCAATGCGTGTCTCCAAAACACGCGCAACCACTGACACAGTTTTCACGTGCTTGCCGAGCTAATAAAGGAGCGTCGTGGAAATCGCAGACAGGCGCGCACACTGATTTCGCGTGTCCCCGCGAAGGTGAGAGTGCCGACCGATGGGTGGAAGTCCGCGGGAAGTCACCAATGTCTTCACTCAGGGGAACACTAACACTGACACAAGGCACTTGGGTTAGCAGCGAACACGGGATACCACCCTTCAGTCCGTACTTGCAGCCTGTGCCAAGTGACACCACCACCACCGAGTTACTCAAGGATAACCAAGTTGGCGCGTATTGGCAAAACGAACAGAACCTAACCTTCGAACTCCTAATATTTAGATCCTTCCTGGATCCAGTGCATGTGCACACACAGAGAGCAGAGAGGTCAGGAGATTCCACAACGAGATGTAGGTACATGAATGGTGACATGAACAGGATCAGCTCAGAAAGAGACCATCAGGTGGTAGGCTAAGCAGCATGAGCCACTGCATTGAACCCAGCGATTACAGCAGAATGGGTGCTGATCCACTACTCCGCGCCACACGGCCGTCGTGAGGGATCCAGGTCATGTATCCTGGACTACCTGCAGCCGATCCTGGGACATGACAGAGGTTTTCAGGTCAGAGACGTCTCCCCAGAAGAATACAGCGGGGCAATTCAGTGCTAGTCGTAGAACAGCTGCCAAGCCCACTGCTGAGCCGCTATCCTCACTGCCCGTCTTGACAATACAGGTAGCCGTTCACAGTCCCGACGTCCAGCACTTTATGCATCAACAAGCTCGTGCGCAAACACTATCCGCATCTGAACAGGGGTAGTAAGGAAGCGACGGATCCGAACCCTCCGCTCTTGTTCCAAACCGCTTGGGAACTTCTTGAACGCTGTACAAGATTACTCCCGTTCCATTCTCACTCTTACAACTACTTCAGACGTAGCCAGACCTACCTCAGCGCTCAACAACTTCCAGTTCCACCGCTTACAGAACACACACACGGCAGATCTACGAATGATGATGATGCGCTGTAGGGGATTGAGGACCCTACTCGCAGACGAACGCACGTCAAGCGCCAGTGACGATACGTGGTGAGTCTGATGCAGAACGTCCCCGTACACGCAGAACGCGGGCGCATTCACACACGCTGATGCTGTGGCTGAGATACACGAAAGTCCTTTCAGTTGTGGGTTCAGTTATCTGATATTCATCATGCACGCAGTCTTCACGATAGGCAGACGGGCGGTGACCACGCAGTGCGAGATTGTCACAGGCCACCATGTGTACAACCCGCCAAGTACAAGTAGACCATGAGATCAGACCGAGGAGATATGCATGCGCATACGTAGCCACACTAGCATCGATACTAGACTAGGTTTCGGCTGCTTTTCCCTCAATGTCTGACTGACCAATGTCGTTTCGGGCTGCGCTGGTAGCACATCGAAGTAGTACAAGTTTCCCCGTTGTCATTCCGTGCTGGGGAGAAAAAGCTATCCAGGTTTATCACGTTGGTGGCCGCTTGGCAAACGGACTACTTCCTGCCCGGTATAGCCTATAGAACCTCAGCTAGCATT